TAAAATAAAATAAAATAAAGGAAGGTGAAGCACTTCATCTTCTCTCATGAAATACAAACGATTTACACAGTAGGAGGGGACTTTGTACAAAGACTTTCCACCAGTCTGCTAATGAAGGAATGGAGGACATCAAAAGATGCGTATGCTCTCTTTCCCCTTATTTCTTATTCAGTGGTTATTTTCTTTCTCTTTCTCTCTCTTTTTTAATGTTTGCCAAAAATTTCATATGCCCACAGAGTAGTCAAGAGTGAATAGACAACGGAAAGCACAGCGCACTATATATCACTGTGATGCTTACCTGCCAAAACTCACACCTTTTTCACTGAGTTTGAAACAACCCCCTGAAACTTTACCAATCAAATGCTGCAGACGATTCCTGAGAACCAGAAAATGAAGCTGAGGAGAAATGAAAGTGAACTAGCAACGCTCTCCCTGTCCAAGGGCAGGGGCTGTGCCTAGTTTAGAGAGGGCATTAATAGTGAAAAGTTAGTCCAGTCTTCACATTTCTTTCAAACACCTAACATGCTATTATGCAAGGCAATTTAGTAGGCAAAAATATGTTGGGTAGAAAGCAGGAGCTCGGTGCTATTTGTGCAAATACAGTACACATTTAGATTATTGTGGGACTGCAGCCAGGTCACTTGGGAGCAAGCACGCAAACCTCATGTTCAGCCTCCTGGCAGGGAGCACTCGTGCCAGAAGCATGATTAATCCCAGCAAAGGAGGGTGTTTATGGGGTGTTACAATCCTGGCGGAGCTGCCCCTTGTGGATGCACACCAGGCAGCTGTGTTTGGACCTGTGCGCTGGATCCATCTGCTCCTCTGTTCCCCTGGCCCTGGGCAGGCTCCAAACGCCGACTGTGGCCCCGGCCTCTCAGGAACACTCCCCAGGCACACTTCTGTGCTTGTACCAACTGTTGCCCCTTCTTTAAGCCCTCTTTTTGGGACCACTGATGTACCACAGAGGTTATAAAGGGTTTTTTGTACACTGGCCACAAGCAGCTAGTTGACTTAACGGTAGAGATACAAAGCAGAAGAAATGTCTGTATGCAGTTTTCTTCCCTTTGGGCCCCGGAGCATTTCCTGGGTTTTGGACAGTGCCATAGCAGTCCTGGGTCCCCTCTCTTGTACCCCAGTGCTCCAGCTTAGCCTTTGCTTCCCGAGTTATAGACTTGGGAAGACTAACTCCCCTGAGAAACTCCATTTTTCAGAGTTGAAGTCAAGGTGTTCCCTGCCTTGAAGACTGTTCCTTCTTAGCATGCTTCTTCCTAAGACTCCTCTGTTTTGTCCTTTTACTGGCAATTTGCTTTGACTTTGTTCTGGGACATTTTACAAACAGGTGTAAGGTAAATCTGCTCTGCTTTAAGCACCATCCATCTTACTTCCCCTAAGGTGGTTCCACTTGAATGGAAGACCATTTGCGTTAAGGGTTCATACTGATCTCTGTTGCACTTCTTCAGCTTTAATCTAGGAGGTATCTCACCCACTCCATATTAGCAAATCTTCGTTCAAATATACAGCAATTTCATAAAATTTACTACATTTTGTCCTTTTCACTTAGAGAAATTTCACAAACTACCAGACAGAGTCCAGGCATGAATTATAGTCCTAGTCCATGATCTGTGGTCAGTCTTTTCACTCTGCAGATTTGTGGAATTAAAACTATGAATTCAGTGTTAGAAATCGTTATTAGCTCATAGCACAGAAAATATTTGTGATGTGGGTCACCTTATCCTTTGATAAGTTTCTTTCTGACTTTGCTTCTTATTTGATACCTCAGAGACCATGCTTTTTATCTCATAGCCACTTAAAATTTAGGAGTTTGGGTTTGCGTTGAAAAAGCTGTGATGGGCTGGGTAAGCAATTTTACCACATTCTGTTTCTGCCTTTCTACCTGCAATTCACTAAAACTGCCTGCACGAAAACGCTTCACTCGCGATATTTGAAATGTACATCTAATTCCAGGATTGACACCCTACTTGGGTATCACTTGAATGCTAAGATATACTAGGATTTGTGCGTACTTGTAATATAACAGTAAGATACTCTCTATCTGGAGCTCCAGCAGTGCAGTAGGTTCTGTTGCTGATATCTCCGTTATTGCTGAGGCAAACCTATTGACTGTGGAGAAAATGTCAGAGTCACGAATCAAGTATGTAAATGAGCAGGCAAAGCATATAAAAGAGATGGTGTTTAAGTTCACTTATCACATTCCTATCATTGGAGAACTTAAGAAGTCAAATTGTCTCTTCTTATGGAGCTGTTATCTTTTTATTCCAGGCAGGGAGCCATGTCAGCTCCCATGCAGAATAAAGCAGTGAAACTCATGCTGCACCTGGAAACTATCCACAGTCTTTGCCTTTGTGGAATCCCTTTTCTTGACCTCGTGGCCTCAAATATGAAAAGCTGCCACAAGCTGTCTCTCTGGTTATAGATACTCCTGAGACCCTGTTTCAAATGTGTTGGGATTTTGTGGGGCAAGTAATACCTGTGCTGAATTGTTCTTCCCTGCGTGCTTCTCCTTCACTTTAACCTTCTGTCTGAGTCCCACCCAATGTTTCACTGCTCTCCACACATGGATCTCATCAACACGGAAAGGAAAATGGTAAGAGAATGCTTGTGCAGTGAAGGGCTTTTCCAGAAAAAAAGGGAGATGTCTGAATACTTGGTTTCCTCTGATGATGTGGGCGGGAATTCTGTCCAGCGACAGGGCAAATCCTGCTAGGTCCTGTACATGCTGCCCCACAGTTTTCTGAATTCAAGAGCTTTCTGCCTAGTTACAGAATTGATGTGTTATGATGGTATATTTGTGACATAAGATACTTTCTTCTTCTGTTCTTGCACTGTGATCGCTATTTGTTTTTTCTGTTCTACTGCTAAGGATATCTTATTTTGTCAGGTTTGGGATGAAGCTCTTGCCAAATCTGCAGAGGTTTGGGCTGCTACCTGTATTTGGGACCATGGACCTTCCTACTTACTGAGATTCTTGGGCCAGAACCTGTCAGTAAGAACTGGAAGGTAGGCAGATATCCTACAATACAGTTATTTTGTCAGCCTTAAAACAGCCTTTGAGATCCAGATCTTAGACTAATGCAAGTGTCATCCAGTATTCTATCGATGATTGATATCTATGTATGATCATTTGGCTTACGAATATTATTGCTTAGTACTGTGCCCCTAGTGATGCACGGAGAAATGTGTATTTAGGTGGCTTGCATCAGAGGGATTAGCATCAGAAGGTTCCAAAATACCTAAATCTAAAATTACATGTTTTTCTTTCTGTATTTTAAACAAACCCAGGTATCGATCTATTCTCCAGCTGGTAAAGCCGTGGTACGATGAGGTGAAGGATTATATTTTCCCTTATCCTCAGGATTGCAACCCCAGGTGCCCCATGAGATGTTATGGACCCATGTGCACCCATTACACACAGGTTACATAAATTACATTCTTCTATTCAAAATCTACCGTCCAAAGCTGGACTTTTCTGTGATGTATTTATAACTCTCTCAAATAAATGTATATATATATTTCTTTTCAATTTGGACTTCACCAATAATAAATATTTATTCAGATGGTTTGGGCCACTTCCAATCGTATAGGCTGTGCAATCCACACATGCCACAATATGAACGTCTGGGGATCTGTTTGGCGACGAGCTGTTTACTTGGTATGCAACTATGCCCCAAAGTGAGTTGCTTTCTTTTAATATTGTTTATTTTTATACTTCATGCATGTTTTGGTCCTCTCATAGGACTGCTTACTCCTTTTTCTGCTGCTTGACCTCTGTTTGTGCTTTTTCTGTGGGCTGCTCCTTCATTCTAACTTTACATCTGAATGTAAAGAAAATGCATGACTTTGGTATACAAGGAAGAAAAGGAATTAACTTGATGTGTATGGAACAAAACCAAAAACTTGTTTTCTGTTATTCTTGCTATTATTACTATTATAATTCTTTTTGTCTTCCTCCTTTGTGCTGACTCCACTTTACTTTCAATCCCTTATTTCTTCACTCTTATATATATTCATGGAGAGCTAGACTTCCTCAGGTAAGCAATTCCACTGCAGATCAGGCCCTTGATTTACTGTGAACACATGTTGTTGCCCACAAGATACCTTTACTGATGACTGTTCTGCATAAGGGCATCCATAGTGCAGGTTTCCTGCACAGTTACCTGATATAGGGCCACCTATGAATGTCTATGCCCTATACTTTGAAGGACTCTAACAGGGAAAGCAAGGTGAGATTTGTAGACACTGAGCTTAGGTAGATGGACTTTGTAGGAAACCTGAAGTTTTAAAGATTTTGCAACTTAAAAAAAAGATAGAGTTTAGTAAGAAAACTGACTTGGGAAAAAACCACCTTTGGAAATAAAGGAGATTTCTCTGTCCTTTTGTCTTTAATATCTGCTAGAAAAGGATAGTAAGAAATGAATGTGAGGGAGCAAAGATCAGGCAGCAAAAACTCTATCTGACTTTTAGACCCACAACATCGACAAGATGAAATAAAAGTTTGTAAGAGAAACCCAAATATTATTTTTACTATATTTCGATTTGAAAAATATATTAAAAATTAGAAACTTCCTAGAATATGTCTCATGTTCATATATAGGAAAAGAATGGGTTTATACATTAGGCATTATTGAAAACTGATGTATTGTTTGCATATCAATTAACAATGAATTAATGACATTTTATATTTTCTCAGTCTACAAATCCCAATGTTTCTCAAACAGCAAACCAAAGACTGGAGTTAAAAGCTTCTTCTCTGGGTGAGATTTTGATTCACAGGTAGTGGAATCAGGATTTTCACATCTACTTCTTGCACAGGCACAAAAAGGATATTGAGTGATCTTGTCTTGCTTAAGTTTCTACTCCTAAGAATTAATTAAGTCAAGTTAAGGACATTGGGCTTAGATTCCTTGGGCTACATGCAGAAGTCTCTTTGCCAGTCGGTAAAGGTTATGCCCTTCTGAGTAACCAGCACATCAGAAACTCCTCTAAAGGAGAAGGGGATGAATATTACAGCTCTGACTTGAGTTATTAAGATTGGAATTTGGCAAAGATTTAGGATATAGAACTCCAATAATTTTCACTGATGCTTCTGAAAGCAGCAAAAAAAAAAAAAGTTAAGGAAGATAATTACAAAGTTCAGAAAGACTCTGCCCCTGGTTACGTAACAGACTCGCACAAATCAGCCATGTGTTTCATAGAAAGTGAAGCAGAAATCAGCTTTCAGCAAACTTTCTGGATTTCCATATCTGTTATCAAACTAAATATATTTCCTGAGCACTCAGTCTGCTGTACCCATTTGGAAGAGAAATAGGAATGAGCAAATTATTTGAGAGATTCCTACTTTCTTCCAAGGCACAACTCAGACCAGGGCTTTTGATCCAATGTTATTGGCTGGGAGGTGGGGGATGAGAAAATGTTTCATAAATAATTGCATTACTCACTGCTATACCATGTCACATGCAAACTAGAGGAAAGTTCTCTGCTCAGTCAGACATAATATTTAAATAAAAATCTAATTTTAACTTTCTTTCTGCCTACATCACGAGTGTTACATGAATTTCTAAAAGCCTGGGGTTTATATAAGCACCTAAAAGTCTGGATGCGTTTTTCAGATGTTCCTAGATCTTTTAGAGTTACCTCTTTTCACACAATCACTCTCCAGACCTGTACCCCTTTCCCCTCAGGCTCTATTACACAGTGCTGTTCACCAGATGGGAGCCCTCCTTCTCTTCCCATTAATGTCTATGAGCCCCCTACAAACGCCCAAATACAGTTCTTTTTAACATATTACCGGTGCGAACAGTTCTCATCTTCCTTCTTCTCTAACCACCAACTCAGTCTCAGAGCTTCACAATGTGGAGCTAGGGTAGTGCAACCTAAGAATAAGATTTAGCTCAGTTTGTTTTTCCACCTTCCCAAACCAAGCTTTTAAGATAACTGCCAGACAAAAATGTGCCTAAGGAAAACCTTGCACCAATGCTTATGTTGCTAATTGCTCATAAATATAGTCCTCCAGTAAAAAAATACTCTGTCCCGGGCTTAGAGAATCAAAAATCACTTGACTGTAGTAAAAACAAGAAGACTGGGACTCCACCACAGAGACCTAAGGATATGGAATGGACCACTGGCCTGGGGTGGCATGCTCATTCTCCTGCTGATTTTTGGGAATCGGTAGATCAACCTTCATCAGTAACTTACTGAAATATATTAATGTAAGTTCTCAGTAACAGGGCATTTAGAGGATATCACTGAAGATATTAACTTTAATCACTCAATACAAGTATGGTTAATTAATTTTTTTTTCTTCCTCTCTTAAATTACTAAGCATTCTTTTTCCTTTTTTATTTTCAGGGGTAATTGGATTGGAGAAGCACCGTATAAAGTAGGAGTCCCGTGTTCTGCTTGTCCTCCAACGTATGGAGGTTCTTGTACTGACAATCTTTGTTTCCCAGGAGTAACATCAAACTACTTATACTGGTTTAAATAAGTTAAGGTTTACATTATTCTGAAAAAAAAAACCAAAACCAAAAAACAAAAAAAACCCATGGATGAGTAACAAGAAGCTTGTATATTGAATTTTGCACATATTATATATAGAGAGATATTGTAATAATACTCTGATGTTTTCTTTTTGTACGCTTTTGTATAATTAGCTTTCAAAGTATGGTATAATTTGGTTTTAACACTTTGGGATTTATGACTCACATTAAGCTTTTTAGATTAACATTTTTTTTAACAGAGAGCAAACTAATTTTCACTTTCGCAAGTGTAGCTTCCTAAAGATTAGGTTCTATTAAAAGCACATTAAAAGATAGGATATGACTTCCTTTTAAAAATAATAGCTCCAGAAAGAGAAGGGTCATTGTTTAATACTGTGCTTTAAAAATGGAGTGTGACGTGCAAAGCAACACATTGTCCTCACACTTCCAGTGGTTCCTCCCATTTACAGCTGTGCTTTCACCTGCAATGTCCATGGGACTCTGGGCAGAGGAAAACATATGTGCAAGAGAAACTGCAGGATATTACCTACCTCATGCACAACATCAATTTGTTGATGGCGTTTCAAGAGTTCAGCACACGGCTGCTGCTATCATCAACGACGCCTGTGTGCAGACAGGAAAATTAGAGAGAATGAGGAACCACGCTGGCCAAGAGGCAGTGGCTGTTAACTCACATGCCCACAGTCTTATCTGGGTAGAAAGCTACATCACTTTAAATATACTGGTGTAACAGTACAGCCTAACTCTGCCTTGCTGTGTTTCTGAATGTTGTCACAATTGCATAATGGTGCTTTGCAGCAGTATATTTATTCTGGTACAGGAAGGCAAAGAAGTATATTGCTACAAAGCAACATACATCAATACATGAAATCTATACTGTCTTTTACACTCTAAGGTTGCCAGTATATGTGTTATCCCCCTGACTGAAACTCAGCCAGGTGAAACTTTGAAGGAGATGTCAGACCTAAAAGTAGATAAGAGGATTTCCCAATAAAAGACATCAAGCAACTTTAAAACTTCATACAGATTTGTTACAAAAATTCCAAATTTCTAAACCAACTGGCACTTTCCTTTAAAATATACTGCGCTGTTTCCTGAAAATATCTGTATAAATTAATAAAAAAAAAATCTGTTTATTCACACCTTTCCTGCCAAAACCTGAACGCCTTATGGGTGCTTACTAGAACATTTATAAAGAGGACCTACATCTTAAGCTAGAATATTATACAGGTAGTTTTCTTGAAAAACAGATTACAAAAAGGAGGAAATCAAATGTCTGTCACAGCTACTATGTCATTGAAATAGCCTCGAGTTTTGGCATTATATTACAGGCAGAATGTACTCTGCTTTAAATACACGTGTTTAGTCTGCTTGTACTGCTACATTTAGACCTCTGAAATTTATAAACCTTGAAAAGGAATGCTGAGCAGAGCAAGCAGAACAACAGAGGATAATTTCACTAGTGCTACATATGTATGTGTCTTTAAGTCACTAATTCATTTTTTTTGAGGGTGTTTGAGCCAGTCTGTCACCAGATTATGAAGTGTCATGTTGGTGACATAGAAAGAAAGATCAGAGTTTGAATTCTGCACGTTAGTTATTCTTTTTCTTTAGCAAGATACCTGGGGATGGGGCAACGGGCTGTACAGCATATGAAACATAGCAGCCCCTCTCCATCTATCCATAATCTGATCTCTCAGAGAATGTCAGCAACTCATCTATGGCTCTTCAGACATTTCTGGTTAGTGACACTTCTGTATCTGACAGGAGAATAACTAGACAAGTATGTTGTCTTAAAATGTGTCCATGTTTTAAAAGAACAACACTTGTAATATTCTACTAACTTTTATCATAACAGTTACAATACAAATGGTTTTCCTTTTGATTTCAAAGGGGCTTGGACTTGGACAGTGCTCAATCAAACACTTTGGCTGAGTAGAATCTGATCCTGTTTTAGGAGTGAAACACAACCTCTTTGCATCATCTGTGTACATATTAAAAGAATTTGGTGAGACAAAACTACTAGGTGGGTCACTAGTTCCCAGTCAACCCAGTTTTTGACAAAGATGCATGTGACAAATACATTTTTGTTCTGCATAAGAAATCTTCTCTAGAGGTAAAGACAGCACACTTAAAACAGTGCATTTAGCCATTTTCAGTATTTTATTTTTTTAAATACAAGATAGGAAGCAAAGCATAAGCAAAAGTTCAGGTTAAGCCGTAGAGCCTACAACAGTAGGTCTAACAATAAATGACTATGCACTTTGGAATTTGCAACTTGTATGTTGTATGGTACACTTTCCAAATGGGACTAGACATTGTAAATTAATTTATAATTCTGTAATTCAGCTGAAATTATTATAACGGGTATATATGTTATCGTATCTGTCACTTTTTAAGTTGCTACAAATGCCTTGATTTTGTGGAATATTTTGTTTTCTATGGATATAGAAAACTTTGCTTTTAACAAACAGGTATGCAGGTTTTTTCACAACATCCCATAATGGTGCTAGGGATTAACTATCGTAATCACACTGTAACTGACAGCAGCGAAAAATGATCTGGGTATAAGCTATTTCATACGAGCAGCTCCTGATAAAACCAGTCACAAGCACTCAAGCATTAGCTGAATATTTTTCATTGAACAGAAAGGATTACAACTCAGGAGATATTTGATAACCACACAAAATTTGCCCTTCCACTTAAAAAAGTAAGTGATTTACTGTAGGCCTTTCTGTATTGCCTATTTGAATTGCCCCAGTTTCTATCACCTTTTTTTCTCTTGGGCCAGGTAATGACAATGCCAATAAAGCTCTGCTTTGATTGTCGGTGTCAGTGCTGCCTGATTGACTACCTGACACCAAGTGCTGCTAGAACAAAAGTACTGAAATGTGCGGAAGACTTCAGATGCCTTTGGCAGTATATCTGCTCTGATACAAGCTGAGGAAAATTCTTGATGAGTTCAAGGCTCTGCTGAGGCAAACCAGCCTCATTTACTATTCTGATACTGCCTTGAAGATTTGTACTAATTCCTTCCAACCAGAGCGGTGTGCCTTTAAAGACAGAGAAATTAGCTCAGACTTCTGTTCTAAATATAAAATTATGAAAGTATACGCAAACTAAAATAGACCTAAAAATACTTTTGGCCAAAATACTGTGAGAGGCATAAGAGTAAAAATGAAGTAATTGATACTATTAATTATTGAGTGCAGCTGTTTATAATATCTGCTTGTGATTTTTTGCCTCATTTAAATGTCTAAGATGATGGGTAAAAATTGATACCTTTTGGTGCTAACCTCTATGTTCTGGTGCTGAAGTTCTACATTATTTTTTGTGGAAGATGAGGTTTACTTCCAATATTACCATACACACTCCAGTGTTTGTGAGATCTTTTTCAGCTAAGCATATAATTTACCATGAGGCCAGATTTGCTTTCCAAGTTACTTTTTATGGTTGTTTCAGACTCTAATGAGAGTTTTATGTGCATCAGAGAGGAAAATGTATTCCAGTACAAAACCAAAACAAACAGTACCCTCCGCTCATCACAACAGTGAAGTGCCTGTGGAACAAATTATGGAGAGAGTAAGACCTCTGACAGTCATGACTTCAGATTGATGCTGAGCAGGTTTCAGTGATCCCAAATCCTCTCTCTGGGGTAATAAATGACTTCAGAAAATCTAGGCTGGACCTTGCACACTTATCCTTGGGATCTCCTCTCTGAGATCAGTTTGTTCCCTTCTGAATTTGAGATGAGTTGGATCAGGCCTTGGTGAAAACCATGGGATGTTTAACATAACTTTTGCAGGAGTGAGAAAGTTGGATTCCATGAGAGCTTTATGGACAGCAAAATCAGACTTCATGTTCCACCCCCTGTCAACACTCAGAAATACCATGGGGTGCTGAAAGAGGAAACCTGCCAGAGCAAAAGTGCTGTATACCACAGCTGGGATCTAACAGAAGGAAATATATTTGTATCTGAATCCATATCTATGTCTATAGACAGACGGATAGATAGGTAGGTAGATGAATCTGTTTATGTATTGTCTTTGAGGATCAGGTTGCAAGCATGGATGTCCTCTTGTGGTTGACAATGCCAATATGTTGGTTTGGTTTCATAGGAATCCAAAACGCTTTAGGATTTTTTAAAAACAAACGTATGCAAATTTAGTTTGTTTCCTTTAAAATTTTTGGTCTTGATTTTAAAGACACATGACTTTGTTTTCGTTGAGAAATGAGGTCCATTGCATAACTCCTTCATTTCTTAGTTTGACGTGATTTGTAAATACAGAACTCAGTCACATTTGTATTGACTGTTGGTTACCTGTCGTACAAAGTTTTAAGAGTATGAGGTAAAACAGAGGTATTCAGATGTCAGAAGAATTTTTAGAGGTGTTAAATTCGATATCGTTCTTAAAAGCACGGGTGGGAAGCCTCATTACTCATATACTAAATTCTAATGATCCTTAATGAAATAAGAGTTTTAAAGGCCCAAATTACTGTTGAAATTTGCCCATTATTGCTAAGTTTTCAAGACAAAACTGTTGCTTTCTTCTTCTAGAATGAAATGATCTCATAGAATCCAAGCACATAGCATTTTTATGGTGCTTTTTAAAACTGTGCGAAATAGAAAATTCGTATGCTGTAGTTGTCAGATCATAATTGGTCTGATGGTCTCAAAGTGCACAAACTTTCCTGTTTGGCTGCATAAGGTGACCATTGAACTTCTGTCAATAGTAACCTGAAATAACCACAGCCTTCTCAAACTGCTTTCTTTCAATAGAAAATAAATTGAAAATCAAGAAAAAAATAGCAAAGTTCCATCTGGTTAATTCAAAATAAAGAAAAAAATTCACTGCTATTGGTAATTTCAAGACTTTCTTGCTGCTTAACCTTCATTTACTGAGTTTCCCTCAGGATATAGTTATTTTCCGTTACAGAAGAATTTTTTACTCATATTACAAGGCAATGCATTTTTAAATTCACACAA